TGTTATAAAATTGTTATAAACAAATGCGTTGTTATTACATAATTGATTTTTTTTTATGGAATTTCAATCTTTCATACAAATAATGATATTTAAAAGAAAAATTGTTCCTTAAAAAAATTTTTTTATTGCTTAAAAACGCATTTGTTAATTATCAATTATTTTTTTCCACTTCTAATTAATATTAAGGAACATTTTTTTTAAATCATTATATATTTTTCTTTTCGATATAAAAAAGAAAAAAATCGTTTTGTTTAATTTTTCATTGTTTATGTAATAAACAATTTGTTATAAACAAATAATTTTTTCTTATGTTTTTTTTTCCTATTCTACTTACTGTCACAAAAACAGATATGAAATAATGAAGAAATTACAGACACCGCATATTAAAAAATTAAAAACAAAAAAATATAAAAATAAAATAAAAAACCAAATCATGTCTGTTTTTGTGACAGTAAGTAGAATAGGAAAAAAAATATAAGATAAAAATTTATTTGTTCATAACAAATTGTTTATTACATAAACAATGAAAAATTAAACAAAACGAATTTTTTCTTTTTTATATCGAAAAGAAAAATATATAATGATTTAAAAAAAATGTTCCTTAATATTAATTAGAAGTGGAAAAAAATAATTGATAATTAACAAATGCGTTTTTAAGCAACAAAAAAATTTTTTTAAGGAACAATTTTTCTTTTAAATATCATTATTTGTATGAAAGATTGAAATTCCATAAAAAAAATCAATTATGTAATAACAACGCATTTGTTTATAACAATTTTATAACAGATAAAAATAAAAATAAATGTTTTTATGCAGCTTCTAAGAGCATAAAAACGGATCATCAATAATATTTAAAAAAAAGTTTGTTTTTCGGTGATTAATTTAACTTTTTAATTTTGCAACAACGATAATTGTTAATAAAAAACTGATTGTTGTTGATGTTCAAATTTTGATTAACAATTGCATAACTAATTGAAAAATTGTAATAAAAAAAAAATTCACGCAGATTATTATTATTATTGTTCATTCGTCTATCCAGTAAGCCCCTGAATTTTTTCATTTCTCAAATTTTATATTTAACATGTTAAAATATTTTTTATTAATAAAGTACCCAAAGTAGGCTTACGCAAGCCAGAGGACCCGTTTTAGGCCGTATTTTCATCCCTCTGGGAAAATTATAAATATTGGTCCTACAGTTCCGAGAGTCGGGGCTTGTTTTTAGGATATTTCCTCCTCTTTTTGAATCTTTTTTTTTTAATTTGAAATATCTTTATTAGTTTTCGAGACATTTGCAAAAAACGAAACCCCCTTTTAATTTTTTAGTTAATTGTTAATTATTAATTTTTTTTCAAAAATCATCTAGATGCCATTCCGAATCGAATGACACCTCGATCATAATTTTCGGAGACTGCTGAAAAAAGTTGACCAAAAAGGCACTTGTTGACTAGACTACATGGCTCAAAATTTTTAAAAATACTTTTTCGTACACTTGAAGAAAAGAGTCACTTTCTGCATAATCTGTATAATGTAGGTATTCTATACAATAGAATACCAAGGCAATGTATATAATGCCTGGGGTTACTAGGCAATGTGGGAATATTACAAATATTATTTTCCATTTTATTCTTTGCCTAGGTAATATGTACAATTCCTTGGGGTTGTATAAAGTACCCGCTGGCCCACCGGCAATGTGTAAAATAAACAGATTTAGCCTGTATTTATCCTAATCAAACCTAACCTAGCCTTTGTATTCTACTACTCTATTTGTATATAGAAAGACGGACGGGTTTTATAATTCTCAGCGAATTAATCACAAACCAATGAAAGTTTGACCAACTCACGGTCGACTAGGTTAAGTTAGCGTTGTGTCCTAAAATTTGCGCAAGCTGAGCGAGCAGAGCGCGCATGCCGCGGCAGAGGCTGGCGAAGCGCCATCCACCTGATAGATAATAGATAAATTGAAAAAGGAAAAGTCGACGCGCTATCTTCTTTTACACACAATGCCGACAGCACATTCGACATTGTATAGAATAAGTATTCAAAGTTTAAAATGAATAATATTTCATACATTGCATTGAGGTTTTTGGCATTCTATACATTGCCGTTAACATTTACATCTATATATATAAATCTTCTGTGAGTGTGTATGTCACTGAACTTCTCTTAAACGACTGGACCGATTTTGATGAAATTTTTTGTGTGTGTTCAAGGGGATCTGAGAATGGTTGGATGAATGGACAACCCCTATTTTTTTTAGGGCGGTACGAAGTTCGCTGGGTCAGCTAGTATACATATAAAATAACACTTTCTAATCAAGTGCATTGAAAATGTTATCTTTCATTTGTTGTCCAAAACGCCATTCCTCTTTTAACTAGACTAATTGTACAATGTACATGTTAGCTCGCATGCTTTTAAGCGAAGCTTGAAACAGGGACTGCAAAAATAATGAAGGCACTTAATTTATCATTTTAATGGGAGTACTTAAAATAGCTTGTAGACAACAGAGAAATTATTATTTCTATGAAGCAAGGTGGGATTCGCTTACAGAGATTTAAACGTGAGCTTTTGAAATGTTGTTTATGCACAGCATTTTAAAATAACTTTGAAATATTTTATCTACAACCATGCTTTAAAACTCCTATTAAAGATTCTGAAACGGTTAGCTTATTGCCAACATTATAACATTCAATGTTCTATAAAATGTTGTACTAAATTTCACAATGACACACTCCTTCGCTTTTTCGCGTAGATATAAGTACTTTTCAAATTATAGTATACTAGCGGCCCGCCCTCGCTTCGCTTCGGTGTAGACTACAGTTTTTATTCTCAGGCTTGTATTATACACAATTACATTCATCTATGATTCTTCTTATACCATGCAAAGTCTCAGCCCGATTGGTTTAAAATTGACAAAGTTTCATACAAACTTTCATTCTCTATTTTATCCCCTTGGGGGTAGAATTGATCAAAATCCTTTTTTAGCGGATGCCTACGTCATAACATCTACCTGCATGCCAAATTTCAGCCCGATCCATCCAGTGGTTTGGGCTGTGTGTTATGTCAGTCAGTCAGTCACCTTTGAGTTTTGTACACATATATATATATATATATTTATATATTTAACTTTTTTTCTTATGTCATTATATATTTTCTCATAAGACACTATTGAATAAAATAAACAACTCTAAGCCTTGGAATTTCTCAAAACACTAACTATATAGACCAAAATCCGCTATAACCATAGCTTACCAAACACGGGTAGAGTAATGAGAGTGTTATGTTGCAGTCGACTACAGCACTTCGGGGAGCTAAACTCTAGGCGAGTCGCTTACACGTCTTGTTATGGCCGTGCCATCAGCCATCACGTATAAAATGCTTCATCCAGCCCTCAGAGAGATAACAACTAAGCGAAGACTATAAGAAAAGGGCTACGGTGTTTATTTTTGCACCCGCGTTTGGAGAAAGAAATTGTATTAATAGCGATATCCAAGAGTTAATATATAAGTTTAAAGATAGTATAAAAAAGGACTTATTAAAAAAGCTTATTACAAAGTATCTGATTATATTATAGACAAAAATGCTTGGGTTTGAACTGTTCCCGAATGGAAGTGGAGTAGGGAATAAATTTTTTGGACGATTCAAAAGAGTTGTACTATACATCCAATTTCAATAAAGATATATTGATTTCTGATTTCTATATAATTGGCACTTTGGCTGTTTGTTTCAGAACTAAGATATTCACTGCACTTTTGAAACAAAAAAATAGTTTTATTTTTCATTTTAGGTTCTAGGACTCCACGGGGTTTGAAGTACTTAATTATTTATGCTACTTTTTAGGGTTCCGTAGTCCTGACAAGGAACCCTTATAGTTTCGTCATGTCCGTCTGTCCGTTCCCGGTTTTGCTTCGAGACTATTAGCACTAAACAGCTGTAATTTTGTGGAGATATGTATATTGATCACGCCGACAAAATGGTTGAATAAAATTGTGAAAAATATTTTTGAAGGTTACTTTTCTACATGTAATCTGATTGGAATGTTTTTTATACGGGCTGATTTTTTTTTCATCGTCTACCCTTTTGCATGGGGTATCGTTGAATAGGTCCTTTGAAATAACTTACGTTTCTAAGACTTTTTTTCGATTAGGGATCCATTTGCGATATATTGAACTTTAAAGTGCTAATTTTCTATATAAAATCTTAATCTATAAGCTAAACTATTGGCTTGAAAAACCTGGAAAAAATCATGATAATTGTGTTTGCTGTTTATTAAATTTTAAGGAAAATTATAACGGTTAAGATACATTTGTAAGTTCAAGAATTTCAGTCGCTCAACTGTGAAAAGAAAACAGAAAATTGCATATCTTTTGAAAATTCCTTAGAGGAAAACATTAAAAGTGACATAGATGAAGTTAGTGAAGCGTAAAACCTTGTATTGAAAACAAATTAAAAAAAGCAATATGATTTTTTTTTAATTTCCGATACAGAAAATGAGGACTCTTGCTCAAATATATTGTAGTAATGACAGGCATCTACGGAACCCTACACTGCTCGTAGCACGACACGGACTTGGCCGACTTTCCTATTTTTAGTTTAATTTTTCTTCCGTTACTTGATTTGTTCAAAAATTTATTACTGTACCTATAACAAATTGTTTAGCGACCTTATCAAATGTTTGAATCACTGCACCGAATTCACGACCGAGCCCTCAAGGTTACAACCGCAACCTTTAACATAATTTAGTTTATTTCATACATAATTTGGTAAAAAAAACATTGTTTTCCCCTACAATGAGCCTTGCGCAACACCTCTATCACTCTTGTTAAACAAAACAAAACGGATTGTCCGAAAATGAAGTATGACAACCTTGTCACAACGCAAAACGCACCCGTAAATCCTGTTAGTGCGATCAAATGGGGTCGTATTGTTCAACTAATACGGTTCAAATTAGATTTCGTTCGTTTGTTAAAAGAGTTTGTATAACTTTTTGAATATATGGGCGAATGACTGCGGCCTGGGGTCAGAAGCAGCTCGGTGATAAATCAAGCAATATGTTCGGCGGTAGAAAAGTGTTCCCTTTAATGCTGCTTCTGGCGGGTTTGTTTTGTGTATTCGCTGATGACGATTGCGACGACTTGGGAGAAGAGGTGAGTACCGTTTCACTTTGAAAAAGAACAAAAAGTCCTTTCCTTGTACTCATGAAATGCACTTAGTACTTATTTTATGAAATAAAATGGAAATAAATTATAAAAAAAAACATCTATTTAGAAATAAAGTAGGTAATGCTACTAAGTAAAAATGTATTCTTTGGTATCATTATGTACATATCTCTCGAAATATCATCTAGTTATACCTGATATAAATAAACACAGCTATTTGTATTTAAACTGTATGGACACAGCAATCAAAATGCGAATCGAAGATATTGATTTTGAATTAATGAATATCTTATTAATTGATTTTGTGTTATCGTTACTAACTTTAATAAATGACCTTAAACTTTGTGAAAACACTTCAAAATCTAACTGCTTTATTATAAGATTGATACTTTCGAAACAGTGCATCATTTGAAGTTACATTCTTGTTGCAATTGGGCACAGAGATAGATTTTAGCTTTCTTTACCACTACTTTAAGCGATAAATTACAATAAATGTGAAGCATCCCACTGTCCATTGATAATCTTATGTAGTATTTACAGATGCTAAATAGAGCGTCTAGAATATAAAGTATTAATTACAAAATATACTTCCAGACTCATCTATCGGCACACTTAGTGATAAAATGTTCCAACGGTCTGTAGCGAATCTATGATTATGTTTGTTTTTTAGGTTTTCACGCACATCACTCATTAAATAAAACTAGTTTTAACGGGTTGAAAAAAAAACATTCTGACGAAGCAGACCTGAAAAGGCTGCGAAACGTCAATAAATAAATAATGTTTCGTGCATTAACCCGTAAAAACTAGTTTTATTTGTATGATTATGGTTGAGCAATAATTTAAAAACACACACGTAAAGACAGTTAAGAAATCACCTTCAAAACTGCGTAGGCAATAACTTTTTGCTGATTGTAACGTTTACTTTCAGCTGGGGACCGTCAAAACTTTAAATGCTAGATGGGCCGATAGATGTGTCCGAAAGTATATTTAAGTATAGTTTCACAAAAATACAAAAATCACTCAACTAAAGTTATACAAAAATCATTAGGTTTTGTGCCCTCCATCCGTATAAACTTTTAATAAGCAATACCTCTCTCTGCCTCTTCGTGAAGGGATTCCAAAGTTTTTCGTTCGCATAATAATAGAATGTTTACATATCACTGATCATCCGGCGTAAGTTCACCCGACCCTTTTTCGTTTGCTTGAAATTATAAATGCAAATATGGTTATTGTGAGTTCCGGTTAATTTGGTCGTTGAAGTTAATTAAGGAATCTCAAATTTGGACATAATTTTATATTGATGTTATAATTGGAAACTCGTGTATTCTCTTGACTCAAAATTAATGATTTATTAATAGCTACATAATTATGTATAATATGTTATTTCAATTTCATCATCTACCGTTTTTTATAAGATGTATGCGACATAAGATTATTTAGGGTTATAAATTGAATACCTTAGAATTCCTATTATAGGCCGCTTCCTATATACTAAATATAAAGTTAACTATAAAATTTATTGTAACTACATATATACTATATTCTAAATTATGTAATGAAAGGTGACTTCAGATGTATCTCTGAAGTCATTTTTGAACTTGACAACTCTGTATATAACAAAACAGAGATAAAAAGACAGCCTTGCTGAGTTTCTTGCCGGTACTTCTTAGTACAAGGTCTTCCGCCGTAGTTTTGCTAACCGATGGCGTAGCTTCTTGACCCTGAGAGCCCTGCCGTGGAGCCCGGCGAGGCCGGGAAGCTCCTGGGTGCGGAGTCGTGGTAGAATCCCTAACGGGGACCCCACGGCTTCGCATTAACCAGTGTAGAAGGTATTCGCAGGACTTTTTTAGCGGATATTATGCTGTAAAGCGCCCGTAAGAGTTGCGGGGTCCTCGGTGGCCAGCCAATGGGGGGTCCGTAAGACTTGCGGGAGCCAGGTGTCAGGTCCGTTCGGCAGTGTGCCTCTTAAAGACGCCGTCGTCTGTAAAAAGTTTTTTTACCTGTGCTATAAAAAAAATAGGGTTGAAATAGACAATGGCAGTTTTAATGAGAATCCAATAATATTACGCATACTTCCATTCGGTCAAGTAAATGAAAGCATTTAGAAAAACAAAATCTTTCCCAGAGGTGATGTTGAAGACAATCTATTCTACTAACTTAACATTAACACATTTTTGGTATCAGAAAAATTCACTAGCTGACAATATTTTTTCTACCTTTTTTAGGAATCATTTGGGTATTATCTTGGTATTGTGAGCTAAAAAAACTAGTATAGTGGTATGAAAGTTATTTATTGTCCTCTTTGTTATCATCCTCGGGTTTTCAAACTTATTATCACAGTGGTATTAAATGGAACTATAATATAAACATATTTATAGGCACTGGAAAATGCATGTGTGAAAATAAATCTTCTGTCCTTACAAATATGGAAGTTGTCCATATATGTACAGGCGACACGGAAGTTTTTAACATTTGCACTACATTACCGAACATCTATTTCGCTGGTTGAATGGTGCCAAAGTTTAGCAGTTTCAAGGCACATTGTAGAGCTTCCATGTGAAATAATGTATTCAACTTATCAGCCAGTTCTGTGAAACAAGTTGCACGTAACTGTAGTGGAGTGAAAATCAATATTTCAGAAACAGACACTCGATAGCTTTTACGTGTATATAAATTTTTGTAACTCTTTTTGTAATACAATGGCGCCAGAGATACTTAAGTTTTGCAAGCGTCTAAGTTATTGTTCTGAGGTCTATATGCTATGGCGACCGTTTACCACCAAGGAGCCTTACATACAGTGACATTTGTATGAAATTTCTAGGTATATGTTATATCTAACTTTTAAACATTTAATAAAACTAGTTTTAACGGGTGTGCCGGAAAGCGACCACCGGTACTTGGTTTTCGTATCGTCTTTGCTTAGCTACGGAGTTTTGAGACTGAGATTTTGGAAATTTAAATAAAGGGGTGATATCTTTGAAAGTCTAATAGCGTATATTTTTTAAATACGAAAAATTGCTGTTACATAATTCGAGGAAGAGGGGTTGGGAACAATATTTCGCGACCAATGGCAGCGTCGATTTTTATATCGCGTCATGCAGCACCACACGGATTGGTGACCGAGCCGAACCTGAACTTGGTGCGTTCCGTCTCGCACAGAAATGCCAAACAACGGGTTAATGCACGCACAAACTCAGGAAGCTTTCTATCTCCTTAAGCCTCTCTGAGAAACAATGCGAAGAGATGGCGCTGCCTTGCAGCTTAAGGCTAGGAAAATTTCGACGCGGCTAATAGGGCCGTGGTAGCATAATGGTCAGTGCATTCGCCCGGATAGCGAAGGATGCGGGTTCGAGTCCCGTCCGCTGCCTGGTCCGCGTGGATTTTTTTCTAGTAAACTTTTCTTTAGATTTAAACATCTAGCAGTTAAATGCTTAAAAAATAAATAAAATCATAACTATAATTGCTATTTATTCTTTCAAATGTTTAATACTTGAAAAAGTATTCATTTGACATTGTGGGTTACCTACAATGCGAAGAGATGGCGCTGCCTTGCAGCTTAAGGCTAGGAAAATTTCGACGCGGCTAATAGGGCCGTGGTAGCATAATGGTCAGTGCATTCGCCCGGATAGCGAAGGATGCGGGTTCGAGTCCCGTCCGCTGCCTGGTCCGCGTGGATTTTTTTCTAGTAAACTTTTCTTTAGATTTAAACATCTAGCAGTTAAATGCTTAAAAAAATAAATAAAATCATAAGTACTTTATTAACTGAAATAACAAATAAATTCATACATAGACAACAAAGTTTTAAAAATCTTCCAATGAAATATCCGAACGCTTAATAAAAGCCTTTCGAAAGTAGCTCGACAAAGTAAATAAAAAATCATTATTCTGACGATGCAGACCTGAAAAGGCTGCGAAACGTCAATACATAAATAAAGTTCGTGCATTAACCCGTTAAAACTAGTTTTATTTAATGAGTGATGTGCGTGAAAACCTCAGAAACAGACATATTATTTGACACATTGATTTCATTAAGTGTAATCAGCTGTCGGAGGACAGAGGGAAATGGTTGAAGATCCATAATCAGCACCGTCAGTAGCGTTGCTCATGAATTCAGAGAGATCTTAAACTGCACTGTATAGTGGTCAGTACATCGCCCGTAAGGCAAGGGACGATGGTTCGATACCAGCCTGATATTTGGACTGAGTTGAAGTTTTTTTGGTGATTTTTTTCTTCAGATACAAAAATAGGAATTTACTGCTTTAGCTTTGGTGAATATGAAGACTACAGTGTTGTATTAATAAAATAAGATCTTAGGGAGAAAGACAATTGCGGTATTAGGTTAAAGTTAGGCATACTACAAATATACGTCCTTCGTAAACTGAACTTTAAGCTCAGTAACTACTTTTTAAACTCGTTTTTTTATTCGATTATTTTTAGAAAACTATAGTACATAAAAGCTTCAATAAATAAATAATACAAATACACAATCTTTTGAAATAAAAATAGTCCCAAATTATATACATTTCATTTCAGTACTCTGTATTCTATTCTCCATTTATGCAAAATACTGCAATAATCTTCTGTGATGCTTCTGTTACTTAAGAATATTGACAATGTGCACCCTCTCCCCCTGTCTTTGATTTAGGGTAGTGTTGCACTAGCAAATTAAAACCGTTTCAACTAATAACTTCGTCGTTAAGTCCGTATTAACTTTATATTTCTAAAAAACTATTCATTGAACTGGTATACTTTAACAATATAAATACGTGATCTATCTTTTCCCTCGCTGATTGTATTAAGATTTGTATTCTAGATGAATAAATAAATAGAAGATACATTTAATTGGTCATCAAAGTCAGACGGAGAGCGAGAAAAATACATTAGACACGCCAGCTGCTAATAATTAACTAAGTGGACCGTAAAAGTCTAACAACGCATCTTTTGGAGGGAATCGATATTCTCATCGAAATTGGGCATGACACATGGACTTCGACTGATGCTTAAAGCTTTTATTTATCTATATATATAAAACTCAAAGGTGACTGACTGACATAGTAATCTATCAACGCACAGCCCAAACCACTGGACGGATCGGGCTGAAATTTGGCATGCAGGTAGATGTCACGACGTAGGCATTCGCTAAGAAAGGATTTTGATCAATTCTATCCCCAAGGGGATAAAATAGGGAATGAAAGTTAGTATGAAACTTTGTCAAATTTAAACCGATCGGGCTGAGACTTTGCATGCAGGTATAAGGAGAATCATAGATGAATTTCATTGTGTATAATACAAGCCTAAGAACAAAAACTGTAGTCTACACTTCAGCTATACACCGAAGCAAAGCGAAGGCGGGCCGCTAGTATATGTATATAAAGATACCAACACGGTAAATGTTGATCTTTCGAGACGTACGATCAGTTAATCGTTGATCCGAAAACCAATGTTGATCCGGAGGCTTTATGTTGATTCATTACGATTTTCACATACTGATGTGGCTCCGATCGGATCAACATTTGGCATTTTTGCCAAGTGACTTGGTTGCAAATTACGCTTGTCAAATGTGGCTCCAATATACAAATCCGCTCCGATAAATGTTGATCCGATTCAAACGGACCAATCAGGATGAAGCACTTTATTACTTCCTCCGTGATTGGCCGATGGAGGTCTATACAACGCTCCGCGTACTACAGTAGTTGATCCGTTGAGTCTGGAGAATCGAAAATCGAACTTTTAATATAAATATGAGAATACATTCGTTTGAATTAAGTTTAAAGAAATGCGGTTAGTTTATACATTACTAGCGGCCACCCGCGACTTTGTCCGCGCTAGCTTTAGTTTTTTGAGAATGCTCCAGGAAATTGGCCTTTTTTCCGGAATAAAAAGGATCCTCTATCTTAATCCGGGCCATAACGTCATATACGCGTACCAAACATCAAAAAATCCGTCCAGTATTTTTTTCTTGATTGAGTAACAAACATACATAAATACTATTGAATGAAGGCAGTTAATAATGAGGACCAGGAGGGTCGCGGCTATGCCTCACCTTTTGAATTATTTATGCGCCTAGATTAAACAATCCAAATAAATCACGCAAAGAAAACGGCTCATGTTTCGCGCAATGTGTGCATGACTCTAATGTCAGATTGCGATAAAGCAGTCACTGTCCACGTTTGTAGACGAGCATATCTACTATATGTAGTAGATATTCTTTCTGCCTCTTCAGTGTAGTTAATACGTTAAATTTAAGTGTACTGGTATTGCAAAAATTTACTATATTCTGACATAGCTTTACCACATTTCTTATCGCGATTTTTTGCCATCCTATGTACAAAAACAATATCAAATAATGTAACTGATAGTGTATACGTCCGTCCTTAGCTCGCTGCAAAATCGAGACAGCAAATTTCCCGTCGGAGCATATTGAACACAATCCCCAAGAAACGGAAGTCTGCAGTAACAAGTATTTACTTGCAGCCAACAATGGTTTCACTATAGAGGTTTCTTACGTTGGAACAAATGAAGGAACTGATGAGATTGAACATATTTACATATTCAAATAAAATTTTCTTTAGATTAATCTAGCGGTTTAATGCTTAAAAAACTAATTAATATTTCTTCTTTCAAATGTTTAATACTTGTAAAGGTATTAATTTGACATTGTGGATTACCTACAATGCAAGGAGATGGGGCTGCCTTGCAGCCTAGGAAATACTAGAGAAAATTCGACACGGACAATTAAGGCCGCAGTAGTGCATCCCCCCGGATAGCGGAGGGTGTGGCTTCGGTCCAGTAAAATTTTCTTTCAAAAGAACAGAAACTTTCAAGAACAGTCTAGAAAACCATGATGTACTTACGTTTGTACAATTACTAAAGTTATTACATTGGCAGAATAAAAGCGATAGAACAAATGCACATACACTACACAACACGCACGCAGGTACATATACATACATACTAACACACACACACACATGTGTGTGTGACACATCGATTAATGCTATACCTAGGTACTTTTTTAATATTATTTTTATGTAATTTTTATTTAGTATTTTTAAATTATTTTAGCTTTAAAGTACATATATCAACAGCAACTACAATACTTTTTAACGTAACAATAGTGGGGAGAGCAATGTCTTCTGGTCCTCAGGGTAACCTTTTCCAGAGGGCAGGGTTCAGATTATCATGTACCAAAATGTAAAGTGGTTCCAATAAATTATTATTATTATTACTGTACAAAACTGAAGTAAAACATATCAATTTTACCTACCTAAATATTTGTTAAATCTCTCTCTCTGTTCTGGCTATAACTTCTGGGTTTGATTGCTATTGACAATTTGGCTCACAAACTATAACAGTGATGCTAGCTCAGTTCACAATTACCAGTAGTCTATCTTGTCTTCTTGTCATAACTGTCACATTGTCCAAAGCAATCAAATCGCATGTTATAACCGCGTGTTTACTTACGATGCGACTTGCATCACAATGCTCCTTGAGGACGCACATGCAATTAAAATCGACAATCGACTCGATCTCGCTCGCAATGTATCGCATCATGAGTAAAACAGAATTAAATGGGACAAATTCCCTTACAGTAGAATTTAAAAACTTGGTATCCATTGTTCCTCAGATACATTTTTAGGGTTCCGTGCCTCAAAAGAAAAAAAAGGAACACTTATAGGATCATTTTCTTGGCCGTCTGTTGATCTGTCCATCTGTGTGTCAAACCTTTTATCTCGGGAACGCGTGGAGGTATCTACTTGAAATATAAACCGTATATTCAAGTGACGACCTCCATGGCCGAGTGGTTTGTACGCCGGGTTTCATGGTGTCGCCGACTCGAGAGGTCCCGGGTTCGAATCCCCGTGGGGGCAGATGTTTGTGTGATGAATACGAGCATTTGTACTCTAGTCATGGATGTTTAATATGTATTTCTATATAAATATACGTATATATGTACAGTATATGTATTCTATCCGTTACTCTAGTATCCCATAACACAAGCCTTATAGTGCTTAGCTTGGGGCTAGGCTAATTGGTGTGAGTGTTGGAAATATTTATTATTATTATTATTAAGTCTACATAGTCTCTTAAAAATCAAACTTCTAAGTTAATGAAAAATAAGATATGGGCATTTATCTGTTTGTCTGTCAAGACCCTTTATATCGAGAACGCGTCAACTATAAAATTTCAACCATATACTCAAGTCTATCGTCCTTTGTAGCTGTGAAAAAATCATTTTTTTTAAATTAACGAAAAGAAAAAGATACGGGCATTTATGTTGCGGATCTACAAATTTGTACGGAAACCTCGGTAGGCTAGTCCGACTCGCACTTGTCCGGTTTTTTAGTCATACTGTAATTCAAGTCACATTGACAATCATCATTTATATTCCTCGATATTTTTCATGGTCAGTCTTTATAATAAAACTAAAACTAAGTTATTTATAACACAGAGGAACTAAAAATAATTATCCGCCATCAATTCTCATCATTGTGCATGTGCACCTCGAATTCTTCGTTTCAGTTTGTTCGTGGCATCTGAACATACTGCTAATAACCAATGGAAATTCTCGCATAAGTAATGAGTGCCACAAAATAGACAAAACAGAAGGTAATCCTATGTATGTACTTAACAACAATAACAATGTTGGCAACTGACCAAGACTCAGAAGTGATTCAAATTTATTTCATTTTTTTTTGCTACTGTATGCTAGTAGAAACATTTGGAATAAATATGGCGACATCATTAATAGACTGTTATGTGTGTTTGAAAAAAATTAAAACCCGAGGTTTCCTTTTGTGTAAGAACTGTAACAAAAGTTGTCACATTAACTGTTCTAAAACTGTTACTGAAAAGTTTTTCCGTTTAATGACGGTAAAAACAAAGGAAAAATGGGTCTGTCATTTATGTGAGCGTAAAGTGAGTGAGGATAATAAGATTAAGCAAATGACATCAACACCGACGAAAAAGGCTATCTTAAACACAGATTTGGCAAATTCTGACAGCGCTCCAGTGGAAGAAATTGTAACAACAGAGTCGCCAATCCAATGAAAACATAAAAGTTGTTAACAAATATATAATAAATATACCTACTGAAAATTCCTTCCAGTCCTTATCAGATGAAGAAGAATTTGAAATTAGCAAATTAAATCGAAGCTGCCCAATTAACAATCAGATCTCAAATGATGCTATCGATGAACTGAGAAAGAAAAATAAAATGTTGCAGGCTAGAGTTGAGATTACAGAAAATGAATTAGAGAATTTGACATTGGAAAATTCTGCTCTTGCTAAGAAACTATCCGAGTATGAATTAAAGATAAAACAATTAACAGAGATTTGTAAATCTCCAAAATTAACTACAGACAAGTACAAGAAAATATACGCTAATACTACCACAATGTCAACGCCTAGTAAATGTGCACAAAATTCTAAAATTGCTTTCCACCACAAACCATCATCATCATCACTACTAAGTGGAGTTTTAACAAAATCAACCCACAATATTATTTCAAGGGATACATTGGAAGATAAGACAAATAATTTAGTAGGCGATGTGTGTAGATGGAAGAGAAAATATAGCAGTACAGCGATTGTAAAACATAATGTGCTCTTATTGGCTGATGAGAGGGGACGAAACATGCGAGATATGATGGAAAAGCGTCTCGGCAAGAATATAATGTAACATCTTCTTTGAAACCATATGCAACCTTGGAAAGACTAGTTTCAGGAAATCTCAATCAATGTAAAAATTTTGGTAAAATGGACTATATAATTATTTTAGCTGGAACACATGATAAAAATGTAATTAAATTTCAATCAACCTTATATTATCTGCTAAACATTTTAACTAATACTAATGTTATTTTTGGGGAAGTAGGTAAAAACCAGTATTTGGATGTGTATGGTCTTAATAAAATGTTAAAGTCAATAAGCGAAAATATCAACAATTTATATTTTTCAGTCTTACCTTATTTTGGCAATAAGAGAATTGATAAGCTAAATACTTGCCGTAATCTAATATTAGACATTATATTAATTAGCTACAAAAATAATTTGTTAGTATCTGTAAATGAGAATAAAAAGTGTAATGATGTCAACACACAAACAGAACCTGTTTTTTTTTCTATATTAAGCTTAGTGATTGTGTATCAAATAAAAGTAATAATATTACGGATGATAATGAAGTTTTAAAAATGAATATCTTTCATCAAAATGTATGTGGCATAAATACGAAAAAACATGAAATTGATATGTATGTCAATATGCAAAAAATAATTCCAACTTATGTATGTCTCACAGAACACTTCCTAAATGAATCAAATATTTCATTGCTTTCCTTAAGTAATTACAAATTGGCTTCTTTTAATTTTAGATCAAATATGAAAAGAGGTGGAAGCTTAATACTTAGTCATAATAATAATGCTTGTAAGTCACTATCTATATGTTCTAATCTGTATACGAGGGAAGTTTTCGAAGTATGTGGTATTAAAGATGCGAATACAACTGTCAACATTGTATGTATTTATAGAAATGATAAGAAAAAATACTTTACTAAGTTTATAGCACAATTAGAAAAACTGTTAGCGCATTTTTTGACAAGAAGTGCCTCATATGTGGAGACTTTAATGTGGATCTTTTAAATGACAATACACAAAAATCTGAGTTTCTTAACTTACTTAAATGTTATAATTTCAAACCATTAATTCATTCTATTACCTACATCAAAGGTGAGGCAAATTCTAGTTTGGACAATTTTTTAACAAATTTGCCAGATGGTGTGGTTATTTCAACAAAAGTAGATCATAATGGCCTTTCAGATGGACATGCTGGTATATTCTGTGAATTAAATGTCCCAGAAGTAAAAGTATCTTCGCGGAATCATGATTTTATTGAGACAAATATAAGGCTTTTTAATGAAAAAAATAATAATACATTTAGACAATATATATCGAAACATAATTCGACTAGTGTTGGTATTAATGGGTTCTTAAAGAATATTAGTGAATCTTTTAAAAAAAGCTTTAAATTAGTTAAACGTAAATTCAAAGTAAAATCTGATCACATCAAGTGGATAACGAAAGGTATCAAAACATCAAGCAAAATGAAGCGTTTTTTAATATCAGCTCATAAGTCAAACTATGATGAATCAGTTTTGAAATATAGAAACAAATATATTAATATCTATAGACGTGTAATCAGAAGTGCACACAGGTTAGCTGTACAAGCAGAAATAAAGAAAGCTAATTGCTCTAAGGCTATTTGGAAAATTGTTAATAGGCATAGAAATAAAATTAAAAGTGGTAGACAGGAAAAAAATGTTCTCAAAGATAACAATAAATTAGTACACAACCCGCAGGAGGTAGTAAATCTTTTTTCTGAAAAGTTTAATCAGGTCCACAATAAAAAAAGTATAACAACAAATTTGTCTGATTTTATTTTAAAGGCTAAAACACCTTATATTAAACGCAGCTTGATTTGGGAGCGGATTACGCCAGCAGAAGTTCGTAAAGTCGTTAGTAAAATGATAAATAAAAAATCTTGTGGATACGATGATTTGCCAATTTCGTTAATAAAGAATAATATTGATATTTTAGCGGAACCGTTATCAACTTTTTTTAACTCGTGCTATGACTCAGGAATGTTTCCTGATCAGCTCAAAATAGCAAAAGTAATTCCTGTATTCAAAAAAGGAGTCAAAACAGATCCCCATAATTATAGGCCAATATCACTGTTACCTACAATATCAAAAATATTTGAAAAACTGATTAAAAATCGACTTGTTGAACATCTTCTTACAAATAATATAATTAGTGAACGACAGTTTGGTTATCAAAAAAAGGTAGGTACAGGCGAGGCAGTAGAAACACTTTTATATGATGTAGCACAATATCTTAACGTTAAAAAGAAAGTTGTTGGAATATTCTTGGATCTCAGCTCTGCTTTCGATTTAGTAAATCATGAAATGCTCATAATTAAGTTAGAACATTATGGCATTAGAGGAAATTGTTTAAGACTTTTAAAATCCTATTTAGAGAATAGACATCAATATGTAGAAATAAAAACTAACATTGACGGAAAAATTAATTACTGTAAATCAAAATTGACAAAGATAAAAAAAGGCGTGCCCCAGGGATCAATATTGGGACCAATTTTATTTTTATTGTTTATCAACGATTTAGATAATTACATTTGTGATAATATTAATGACATAAAAATTACTCTGTTTGCGGACGACACTAGTGCAGTTATTTCAGTCAACAATAGTGAAGATCTAAGTCGTAAAACTAAGCAGGCTCTATCAGCATTTAGTAATTGGTTTGATGCAAATGACCTTATTTTGAATTTTGACAAAACCAATATAATGTTATTTCGTACGACGGCAAGAAATAAAGAAAATTTGGATATTACTTTAAACCACAAAAATATAAATCTAGTAGAAGTAGTAAAGTTTTTAGGAATTTATATTGACTCATACCTCAACTGGAAGCAAGAATTGGAGAAAATTGAGAAAAAAATTAGTTCAGCCTGTTATTGTTTAAGAAGCTTACGTGACGATATTACAGTAGAGCAACTAAAAATAGTATATTATGCACTAGTCGAGTCTCATTTGCGGTATAGTATTAGGTTTTGGGGCAATTCATATAAATTTAATATACAGAGAGCTTTTGTGTTACAAAAAAGAGCTATCAGAACTGTAGTCCGTATTCCACAATGGGAATCATGTAGAGAATATTTTGTGAAATTGAAGATTTTAACCGTTCCCTGTCTTTATATATTAACAGTTTTGTGCAACTTAGCAAAAAATTTTGATACTTTTGAAACGATAATAGACAGGGACAGACGTTTGAAAACACGCAGAAAGGATCTACCACATCTGGTCAAACCTAAACTTAAGATTGTTAAACATAGCTGTAGGTACCAGGCGGTCGAAATTTTTAATAGGCTTCCAATCAGTTTGAAATCGATTATTGATTACAAATCTTTTCAAAACAAATTGAGGGACTTCTTGTTGACGAAGTGTTATTACAGTGTTGACGAATTTATGAGACAGGATTAGGTTGACATTTTTTTTTATATATACGAATTTTATCCAGTTTGACATAGTGTATTTGTATTTTCTTTTTATTTGTTACAATTTTAATAATCCACTTTGACATCAAAAATTTGTAATTTGATTTATTATTTTATTTATGTCTGCTTTTATTTTATTTTGAATTATTATTATTTCCAACACAATTATATTGTTAAATGGAATAAATGAATTGAATTGAATTGAATAACATAAATACCTACGCTCAGGGATCGCGTTAGGATTGTCAACTTTGGCGTACGCACAAAATCGATCTCTGTAGTGGCAGTCGTATCTATTTTTTTTTATTTACTGTCGAGAATGAAGCAGAGGGATCGGAAATATGAACCAATAATAACTAAATCATATAAAATTTTAATCATCATCAGCCTATTAATATCCCCACTGCTGGGGCACAAGCCTTCCCTATGGATGGAATAGGGACATTGGGCCATGACCCACCACGCGGGCCCAGTGCGTGTTGGTGGATGCTAACGACTGCAGATGCAGCCGGGACCAACGTCTTAACGTGCCTTCCGAAGCACGGAGGAGCTCGAGATAGTAAATTTTCGGTCACCCATCCAATGACCGACCACTGCGAAAGTTGCTTAAATTCAACGATCGCAGCGGAACGCGCTAACCACTTGCGCCATCGAGCTCCTCAAAAGTTTAATATTTTCATAAAATTTAATATTGTGATTATATTACCAATAAAAACAAATGACATTTCACGGCAAAGTTGAATTCAAACAACCGTCTGTTGAACAGATATATTAACTTGTTTTTGTTCCTCCATTTTTGCAAAAGAACGTTCACAGACACGTGTCAGCGGATGACACTCGCGCTCGCAGTGGTCTGAAGTGGTTCGAAATATCGTGTAGATGAGTGTCGCTATGTGTGCGTTGCTCGAGCGCACCTGTATGTAGATTACCTTCTGTTATGTCTTGTGTGGCTAAACTAACTCGGTCACAATTGGCGAGGTCACACTCCTGCTCAAAGCAGGCGTGCATACCATAGACCATAAAAACGCCTAGACATTTCGATCACCAGATATATTTTTTCACAAACACATAAATTCTCGGCTATAAATTTGCTGAATTTGTATTTGTGCCGAATGTGAAGTTGACCTTGTTTATATTTGCTAATTAAAATTTTTCAAATGAAGAAAAATGACTAAATTAAAGTTTGACCGACGCCGTACTCATCGTCGATTTTTTATGTTGCAAGCGATATGGCGCTGTCACGAATGCATAATTACACGGTTATACTGCTCATGAAGCGTCGTAATCTGTTTTATATTATAGAGTAGTACATCAGGTTTCTTTTGCCTCAGTATTTAAATAGACTTTCAAACAATGCACATTTGCATGGTGTAATATTTTTTTTTGTCAGAATCATTTAAAAAACTACTTAAAAATAATATTGTGGAATCAGGATGGCATGTTAAATTATGATAAGTAGTTGATTAAAAACAACAATATTAGATAATTTTACTAGAAAAAGGAGGGTGCAGGTTCGAGGCCCGACTGCTGCTTGGTCCGCGTTTTTTCTAGTAAAATTTTCTTTACATTTGAACATGTATCAGTTAAATACTTAAAAAAGTATAAATATAA